AGGGTACACTTTTTAATCTGTAACCTTAAAGTCTGGCTTTAGATTAATAGTATAGTCCTAAGATTGATACTCTAATAATTACTCAAAGGATTCTTTACTAAATACATTCTTGTATACTTTAAAATAATGAGGGATTGTAAAAACCAGGGTAGGATTATTATCAGTTCTCCTTAGGTACTCTAGAACATCTGGATACGTCTCTGGTTCATCTAAGGACATAGAACAACTGTCTAGACATTTAGTAAAGGACACAATACCTTGTTCCCAATTAATCTCTAGATTATACTTGTTTAACCAATCATATCCTAGAAAGATATTACTTAATACTAATGTAGTGACTGTCAGACAAATTGTCTCTGTATACACTTTAACAGAGAGTTTCACTTCAACATAGTCCTTTAGGAGACCTCTATCATTACTTATACTATTAGTATTGAAAACTAGGAAGGGATTCTTAAAAGGATATGTTGTTAACTTGTTGTTCTTGACAAAACCTGTATCTATGTATGATCTAGTACACTCTGAATCAATTAGAGTATGTGTATTAATGAGTCCATAATCTGTTTTAATTGTTAAGAACATATCCAGTTGCCTTCCAGTGCTAGAGCAAATGTACAAAGCTTCCTTAAGAGAAACTGAGTCTATAAGTTTATAAAGAATGTCTAAAACCATTCCTACATCTTCCACCTCTTTACAGACTTCAGAATCAATAGGTTCATTAAAGAAATAAGAGTCTTTACTGTCTAGAGTGTTATAGTACAAACAATAATTGTCTATATTTGATTTAGATGTTTAGCATTAATTATTTACATAACAATAACTCTGTTCTAGCTCTTCCTTAAGTAATACAGTGTTTATACCTGAGGATTGACAAAAGACTCCTCTTCCTCAATCTGTTCCTTGTCTGGTTCTTTATCTATAAAGTCCTCTTCCTTTAATTCCTGTATTGCCTCTACAAAAGTAAACCTTTCCTTAGGTCTTATAGCTCTGAGAATCATCCTAACTCTTTAATACTGAGAAGGACAAACTCTGACAAAGTGACCAATCTCTCTACAAATGTAACAAGCTTGATTTTTCTTAGTATTGTTAATCAAGATATCTATTGGTTCTCTAGCTCCTAAGAATGTTTTTCTATTAAGAGTCAACCTGAAAGAATGTAAGGTTGGTTGAGAATTTGTCTATACATTTGAGGCTTTAGAATACACAGTAGGATTGGATTGAGGAGAGTTGTGAGCCTTGTTGGAAAGATTAAAGTACAGACAGTTGTTAGATTAACTACTAGAGAGTCCCTTACATGTAAGAGTCTCTCTGAGTTGAGTTTCATTATTGTCAATCTGAATTACATACTTTTTCCATTCATTATAAGTACTTATGACTAGTAATAGGCACATTAACTGATGAAGTACTTTAGGATTAAGAGTATACTAAAGTAAATTAATTAATATAGAGTCATATACTTTACTACTTAGTCTAGCTTCAGTCTTAAGAATCTTAAACTGTTAGAAAAAGACATTTACAGAGTGATTTCCTTACTTGAGTTGTCTAAACTTCTGGATAGCAGTTTCTTTCTTACTAGGGTCATTAAATGATTGTCCTAGTTGCTCTATAAACTCTTAGAATGATTGTGTACAAAGAATTTTGCCCTTATTGTCTGTGTTTTGAGTAACCTAATTTTCTACTTATACAGTAACTGTCCCTTTCTTTAAATAAGAAAGTACAAAGAGTATCTTCTTTTTACTATTATAGAAGGCTCTTTCATTAGTAAGAATATACAGTAAACATTCTCTTTTAAAGTCCTAATAATTCTTGCCTCCCTTGTACTCTCTAAGAGTAGTAGTAATCTTTTTAGAGTTTATAACAGGAGTATAGTACATTACTACAGTAACAGTTTGACTAATAGCTTCTGTAATCAATTAAGAGACTGAATTCATGTCTAAGTACATATATACATCTTACTAGGGCTGTACAGGCTTGTAAGAGAGTGTAGAGGAGTTTCCTAAAGGATTTAACATTGTTCCTAAGACTAGCTCTAATAAATCAACTTCTAAAGTACTGAATACTCTTTCAAATACCTGAGCAAGCTCTAAAACGTCTGTGTCTTTGTTAGAGGCTAGTGTGAATGATTATAAACAATGTATAAGTTCTAGGAAACATTCCTTCAACTAGTTTACTACCTAGGCAACTTTAATCTTTTAGTTTTAAGCTCTTAAGCTATTTATATACACTTTGTTCTAAGTACAATCTAGTGACTCTTATCTAATAACACTAAATAACTGTAAGACAATACTGGACTTTCAGACTGTAAGGTCCCTAAAGGCATTACTACTTAAGAGAGGCTCTAGTTAACTAGTAAACAAAGGCTAGGGATTGAGCTTCATAAGTAGTAGGTTAAAAAGTGTTTAGAAAAGAGTATAGTTATGCAAATTTTAAAGACAACACACAAACTCAAAAGAGTGAAAGAGAGTAAAGGATGGTAACAATACAACCTTGAGAGTAGAGTATAAAATAATAGAAAAATAAAGTAACAAATGAGTGAGGGACAATATAAAATTAGTAGGATAGTAAATTAGTTTAATAGTTCTTTAAGAAAGTAATAGTATGTTTATAAAGGGAGTAAGGAATTCTTAAACAAGTAGTAGCTTAGTTTAAGCAAACTAATTAAGTAGTGGCTCAGATTGGGCAGATTTAGTAGATTGGGCAGATTGAGCAGATTGAGTAAGAGGTGTGACTGAGTAGTAGCTTGAGTTAGAGAAAGTCAAGTAGTAGCTCTAACTATATGTAGGAAACAAATAAAACAGTAGTTCAGACTCAAAGGAGAGTAGGATCAGATAGAGAGGATAGTTGAGTAGTAGCTCAGACTAGGAGGATTTTGATCAAGTAGTAGCTTAGACTAAGAGTAGTATTAAGGTAGAGATGAGTTTTTTGACTCTTATGTTAGAGGAGATGTGTTCTCTAGGTTGATAGTACTCTCAAACTGTGAATGTAGACCTACAGTCCTTAAACCAACTATATTCCTAAAGCTACCAGCTAGGATTTATGTTAGGAGAACAAGTAGGAATACAAGAAGAGTCAAAAAACTAAGAAACTACTGTATCTACAGGTTGCTTTTTATAATAACTAAATAACAAGAGTAAAGTAAGGAATGAAACTTGAGAATAAGATTAAAGAAATAATAAGAACAAATATTGTGAAACTAACAGGCACATTAGAGGTTAGGAAGAATTAACAGAATGTTGTGTATTAGAGAATACAGACTAAGAGACTATTGTACAAAAGAGGCATAAGTTACTATATTAGGTGAGAAATGGATTAGCTGTGTTGTGATTGTATATACTACCTTGTGTCTCTGTAGCTCTCTCCTGTACTCAATACTAAGACAATCTCTATAAAACTTTGTAGAATAATAGATAAGATGTTAAGAATTATGAAAATCCAGTAGTAATGTTGGTTTTTCACAAAACTGACAGAGATATGAAGAAAATGAAATAGGTCCAATCCTGTAATCCTAACAGTACTACAGACAGAATCAGCACCCATTACAGTCTATTACAACAATTAGGGAGTAATACAAACTGTCAAATCTAAGAAGATCACTTTCAACACTTAAACAAAACACTTTAATTGTTAGGAATTGTAAAATACAGTAACTAAATTTGGAAAGCCTAACTTAAGACTTAGAACCAAGTAGTTTATAAATAAAACTCTATTAGTTACAAGTCTAAAGATTGGCCAGATCCTTAGACTACCTTTGTTGTCCTACTTAGTAAGAACTCTAGCTCAGTATTATAAACCTCTAATCATTACTAATAAGTAATCAATCTATTAGTAGAGAGAGGGGACAGGAAGGAGTAAGTACTAAGTCAGTTAGGAAAAGGTAACAAAACCTGTAGACAAGGTCTTTATCTCTCTAAGGTCAAACACATACTCTAGTACTGTATTAATTAATAACCTTAACTAAAGACAAGTCATTTAGAATACTTGTATAGAGAGGGGATCTGGAAAGAGTATAATGTTCAAAGTAAGAAGAATGGTAGAGAAAGACTAGAAGAAAACCTAAAGAGATAAAGGAAAATATTATACTTACTTATAGGAAAACTACATAGTTAGCTAGAAACACTTTGTACAAAAACAAAGAACTATTAGAGCTAGTAAAGAGTCAGAGCTAGTACTCTAAAGCTCTATACTTGAGGAGGACTAGTACTATATAAGGGAAAGGAACAGAGAGCTCTAAGGAGAGACTACAGGAAAGTAGTCTCTTATATACACTTTACTTATACAGATAGGAAAGTTATAAAGTTATAAACACAAGGAATACATGAGGCAATCTAGAACTCTAGTTGTAAGTTCTATGATTAAATACAAAAGTATAAAGATAAGGCTAGAAGTTAATAAGGATAATTGTCTCCTAAACTAAGTTAATTAAATAAGACTTAGGGAAAGATTTAGAACATTAGTTGTTAGTTCTAGAGTGTACATGAGACAGTCTAGAACTTTGGTTGTAAGTTCTAGGGGTAGTACAAAAGTACAGCCTTTTATATTACAGAAGTTATAAGGAGTTATTAGAAGTCATAATACTCTACCTTATAAGAAAGTGTATTACAAACTAGTGTACAGGAAGTACAGGTTAAGTTAGACAGAGTTATAAGAAGTCTAACAGAACAATAGAAAGCTCTACTTTATAAGAAAAGTATTACACAGCTTACACAGTATAACTAGTTAGGAGGACTCATAATGAGTCATTAGAAGTATGAGAGGAAGTATAGAAGACATAACAATATAGTAAAGAAGTCATTAGAAGATTAATCTAGGATACAAGAAGACACAAACTAGTGTCAGCAGATTAATAGAAGACACAAACCAGTGTAGCATACAGTCTAAAGGATTAGCTAGCTCCACTTCATAGGAACAATAGTGAAGGGAGTTACTAAAGTCACTAGAGTAACATCACTCTAGTAAAAGGTATATAAGGAGGCCAGTTTGGCCCTCAAAAGATAGTTTTATCAACTTAAGCAACCACCAATAATTGGAAATACGTATGGTGTTTTCTGCATGACATACACAATAGCAACAGTGCTGATATGTTCTGTGCCAACTTCCTTTGCGACTTTCTCCAGTGCAGCACTCATTTTCTTCAAGTTCTCATTTTCATTATGCATCCAATCCAGCTGGAGTAAAGTACGTCCCTTCTCGCCTGATGCCAAACGTCGTTCCTCTTCTGCATCGGTACGGAGGTGTCCTGCTGCTAAGACATTCCATGGCGCAAGTGCTAAACCGTTCGCGCGTGCCATAGGGATAATTTCGCGCTCGAAGCTACGGTCCATAACATTCCACGATCCCTGGTAAATGACGAAAGGTGATTTTCCACGGAGTTTCGCATACTGATTGGCTGCTGAGACAACCCACGCGGGGCTATCTGACACCCCCAGGTAGAGGACCTTCCCAGTAGCGACGAGGTGGTGCAAACTGTCCATAACCTCCTCGATTGATGTACTGAAATCCCACCAATGTACATTGTACATACAGGATGTCAATGTACGAGGTACGCAGTTCCTTAAGGCTAGCTTCCACGCTTATCTTGAGTGATTTCGCATTGTTTCCAACGTAGTTCGCTTCAATAGCGATGTCAGTTGCCGAACGTTTGAAGTTTGCCGTGTACTTTTTTAAAAAGAAGATGTGAAAATGAGCTTTGCGAGAAGAAAAAAAGCTGAATATCGCTTCTAGTCTTTGTTGCAATCACGAGCTGGTCGCGGATACCATGCATTTCTGCCCATTCTCCAATGAACATCTCGGATGTTCCCTCTTGACCGAAAAAAAACCGATTAGTTGACGATATGGAAGTCTATCGGGGCACAAACTATTCATTAACTGCACCAATGAAATTACCACCCGCATCGAAGTAAGCATCAAGAAGCTTGAAGGATGACTCCTTATCCATTGCTCCCATGCCCATATCTGCCCATTTGTCTCCAATATTTCCTGCGCCGAGTTGGAGTGGCGAAACTCGAACTCCTGCTAAGGGAGAGAGGACACAATAACAGTCCAACTGAGTGAGTATAGTTGCTGTGGTCCGGTTCTGGACCGGTCCACCCCTCCTTTACCTGGACTGTAACCTGGACCTCTTCATACGGTCTGGGTAAAGGAGGGACCTGGACCCGAACCTTTGTGGACCACTGTTGGACCGGACCTAAGGTCCAGTCCAGGTCCAGTCCAGGTATGACCTGGACCAGTAGAACTTATACTTACAGTCGACTCAAGAGTGTGTCCCTAGTGTGAGTAGAGGAGTTCAAGCATCCTACAACAAACAGTGTCTATTCTTTTTTTTGTAATATGTAGCTAGTGCTTTATACTAGACTATTTACAAAGAGAATGATAATGAGTTTTAAGAATTTCAATTGCTTCAAAAGTTTCTGGAAGAAGTCAGTTACACCACTTTGTATCTACAAGCTCTACACCTGAAAACACACACTCACAAGGTACAGAGGAGCCTTGTATAGCAAGGTAATCCTGAGCTATGTGAGCAAGAATTGGATAATGAATACTATTCTCCTAAAAGGAGTGTTAGTACAAGGAATGAATGAAATATATAAGCTCTACTCACTTTCCACCATGTGAGTATATTAAAGTTGTCTGTTTTCTTAACAAAAGGATCTTTGAGGTAGTGAAGAAGTTCCTCTCAAGCTACCTTAGGCATGGAGCTTCACACTGTAGACAATGCTCTGCAGCAGCCTTCAAGCAACCTATACTCAAGGTAGACAAAGATGAGGTTGGTGGCTTCACATTTGGTGGTGGACTTCCTAGTGTGACCTCTGAAGAAGCTTGATGACTCTAAGAAAAAGTTAGAAAAATATAGTATAAATGTTTTCTACTTACCTGTAAAGTCCTCTAGCAGATTTCATCTTTATACTTATCAAACTAGGGTAGAAAGTTAATAAAATAAAGAAAAAGTTAAAGACCAGACTTAGAATTCTGTACTTCAGACACCTTGACCTTCTTAACACTCTCAACAGTAGATGTCTTGACAGGCTTGCACTTTCTGGCTCCCTTTGGTTCATTACTGTCAGGTGAGTTGTTCTCTAAGTTGCTTTTTTCTGTAGTAATAGCCTCCTTATACTTGGAGGACAGAGCATTATAACAAAGGTTACAGTATGAGTAGCTATTAGTAGTACTACTAGTAGAAGCACTCTTCTGTGCTTCCTACAGGTCAGGTGGCAGTGAAACAACATTATCACTTGGAGAATACAGCCATTCTATCTCTAAAGCATTCTTGAGAGTACTGTCTGTACAGAGAGCAGGTCTTTCTAGGTCCATAAGTGTAAGAAGAAAGCTTATGCAAAAAGAGTGCAAATTATAGTTCAACCCAGTCTAAATATGTAAATTGTAATACTATAGTACATTTTCCTACAGCTTTATAGCTAATTCTACTGTATTTTAATACTTATTTCTACTACTTTATGTATGTATCAAGTAAGGAGTAAACACTCTGAATTATATGTCAACTCAACTGGGTGTTCTTGTATTAAAATAGAAACATGAGTCCTGGGTCCAGTCCTTAGTCCTGAAGGTCCAGTCTGGTCCAGGAAAATACAGCATTTCCTAGACCTGGAACTGAACCTGTTCTGGACCTGATTGGACCAGACCTATTGTGACCCAGACCTCAGGTTTGGTCCTAGGGTTGACCTAGGTCCATTAGGTCCAGGACTGAACATTAGCAACTATATGAGTAAGTGGTTTAACTTTATATACCTTAATATTAGATTGTACTCTAGATTAGGAAATCCCTAATTGTCTTATGTAGAATTACTACACTTAGAATGTCTCAGACTATCAGACTTCACTATGTAGTATATAAGATAGACACTTGCTTGATGTCTCAATAAGAGAGAGTACTTAGAGTACTCCTACTACACTTGTTAAAAGGTTATAAGCCTTAGTACTCATTGAATGCCTCTACACACTTGCTCTTACAGAACACCTTTGCCTCCTACTAGACCACCAAGCCCTAGACCTCCCTCTCCCCTCAAACCTATTACAATGTTGTCTACAACACATACCTTTGTTAATGCTACAATGAAGGACTCTAACATTACAAAGTTCTTTGAGGGAACAGAAAAGTTAGCTAGTGTGAAGGGATACAAGATATAGCACTTGTACATACACAGTACACTTGCTACCATGATACTCTTAGACCATCTAGAGCACAATCCCCCTTCCTCTAATGATGCTAGCATACATACAAGTAATGTTTTGTATCATTGTATAACAAAAACAATAACTGATACAATTTATGTAAACTTTACAACACATACAAGTGTTAGAAGTCTTATGAAGGTGCTTTCTGAACAATACAATGTTCAAACAACAATGACACATACTGTAGACATATCTATGTTGTTTACAGTAAAAGGGCATGTATTACAGTTTGATAAGATGTTAGACAACATTGAACAAATCTATAGGCAGTTGTCTACACATAATAAAGCCCCTAATAACAATACATACATCTCAGCAATTAACCTTACTACTCCTTATGAGTATAGATGGGTAGTAACAATGCTAGACAGGCAGATTACCTATTATAATCAACTACTAACAGTTACAGTAGCTCAGAAAGATGTTCTGATACTAGCTAAGTTAATACACAAATTACAAAACACATATACTGAGTATCATTCTTAGTACTCTCAAACAAAACAAGATACTGAACAAGACAGCCTACAAATGAAAGGCAAAAGTGTAGCTAAAGGCAAAACAAAGCCTTATAATAAAGTTAAATGCTATAACTGTAATAAGTACAGGCATATGTCAAAAGACTGCTGAAATCCTCTAACAAGCAAAACAACAGAAGCTTGAAAGAAAAAGTATAAGCAAACAGTTACTACTTCTACTACTACTACTATACTGTCTCAACCTGCACTTAATGCAGCAGTATTCATTAGAGACAATAACAAAACAGTATTCATTAAAGATGTTAATAAAACACTAATGCTAGAGTCTACAATTGTAGAAGCCTCAGTATCAAGTTCTAGCAGCTTACCTGTTCAATCTGCTCTATTTACTGAATCTGCTTTATTCACTAAATCCAATGTATTTTCAGTATTCAAAGTACAAGAGGATAGTGTCATACAAGTAGACAACTTTATGAACTCATTTGACAATACAAAAGAAGTCATTAAGGAGTTTAATTACAATCCAAACATATGTATCAATACAATACATTATAATGATACTGAACTAATACATTGTATTAATATATTGGACTCTGGTGCAAATGTACATACTACTTCATACTTGTTCTGTCTTACAAACGTTTGGAACTCGACCCTAATAAACATTACAATTGCAAATAAATTGTCATTCACACTTAGCAAAAGTAGAGTAATGACATTTAATGTAAAACTATAAGACAAAGTTAATGAGCATAATAAGGTGAATACAATTTCACTACAAAACGTATACTATCATCCTAATCTGAACTTCACACTTGTTAGTGAAGCACTATTATACAAAGTAGGATATGTTTTAACAAAAACAAACAATGAATGTATTATTTATTCTCCTACTCATACAAAGATTGGTGAAATACATGTACAAAATAACTTATATATGATAGTTTCTCATCATAATAAACAATCTATTAACACAATCACTATCATTGATTTACATTGACAAATGGGTCATGTTAATTTCAATTACTTGTACAAACTCATACAAGAGTATCCTGAGATTATAAGTTAAAGGATAACAGATAATAAAAATACACAGTGTACAGATTGTATTAAAGCAAACATACAACACAATGAAATACCAAAAATACAAACAACACTTCTTGCACAATCTTATGGAGATCATCTCCATATTAATATTTGGGGACTTGCTCTAGTACAAGCTTACAGTAAGTACAAATATCTTTTTACTATTGTAGATGACACTACACAATAGGTAACTATACTACCTATGTAGGATAAAAGCAATGCTTTTACTGAATATGTAAAGTATACAATGAGACTCTTTACACAGTACAGTATAAGAGTTAAAACTCTCTAAAGTGATAACAATACAGTGTTCCTAAGTAAAGACTTTACTATGTATATTGAAAGTCAAGGAACAATACATAGATTAACAGTACACAATACACTACAGCAGAATAGAGTTGTAGAATGTATATATAAGACTATCTTTAACAGCATACATACATGTCTATTATTAGCAAAGTTACTTATAAAATTCTGAGTATATACAGTACAATATCAAACGTTTATTTATAACAGAACACTGAGAGTTGCTATTAATTTCATAATACTATATTACAAACAGTATAACAAACATTATCAAATAGATAATATACAAGAATTCAGCACATATTGTATTATACACAATGAACAAATGTATAAACTACAACCTAGAGGCTAACACACACAATGGTTAGGTTATGATAACAATAGCAAAGGTCACTTAGTGTGCTATAATAATAAAGTTACTGTCAAACACAACATACAATTCATAGACAAACTAATGTCTAGGATTGAAGGGGAGAATAATCATAACAATGATACATCAAACAATGATGAAACTCTTCCTAATAATAATAATAAAGATAAAGAACCTGTTATACAACACTCTACACAAGAGCTAAGACTGGTTAAACAAACTATAGGTTTAAATTACAAAGACAATATAAACCTAACTATGTATCTAACAGAATTTAACAAATTCCTTAACAAAGTCTATAACAATCCATTAATGTATTACAATACTATAACACATATAGACAAAGAACAGTAGATTAAAGCTATAAAGGATGAAATACAGTCACTTCAACAATGAAACACATAGATATATACTATCCCCCCTATAAATACAAATATAATTGGAACGAAATTTGTCTATAAAATCAAAAGACTAGCTAACAGCTGAATAGACAAATACAAAGCACAATTTGTAGTACAAGGATACACTCAAAAGAATAGAATAGACTTCTATTCTGACAACTTATTTGCTCTAGTAACAAAACTATCAACAGTACAATTATTGTTATCTTGGACAGTATCTAAGAACTACAAAATACATTAGATTGATGTAAAATCTGTATATCTTTACAGAGAATTAAATGAGGACAAACTCATTTATGTGAAACTGTTACTAGGCAGGCTACTTACAGATATTAAACCTGAACAAGCATTATACTTAAATAAAGCATTATACAGATTGAAACAAGCAGGTAGACAATGGTACAAGAAGATTACCAAACTACTGCTTAAGATCAGATTAGAACAAGCTAATTACAATCACACTGTATT